GTTACACACAATATAAATTGTATTATAAAAATAACATTTTGAGTCTTGATTAAGGGAAATGTCCCGTGACTAATAAATATAAAAATTATATATATAAAAAAGATTTTATACTCTTATGGTACAAAACTATTTAATTATAAATTATAAATATGTATAAAGTTTTGATTATAATTGATAAAATTGAAATTAAAACAAATAAAATTTTTTTTTGAAAATTGTAATTAAAAAAATAATTCAAAATAAATTTATAGTATAGAAGTAAAAAAAATTACAAGCTATAAAACTTCACGAGCCAAAATCTTTTAATTAAAAATCAACTTTAAAAGGATTTAAAAAAAATTTTATAAAAAAGAATAAATTTTTACTCAGAGTTTAAGTTATTCAAGATCAGATTTTTAGTAACAGAAAATATTGATCATACTTTATTTGGCCAACCCAACAGTGGTGTTACGTAGTGCAAATCATATTTTATTTTAATCACCAATCATTGATTAGTAGTTACAAGTTAATTCGCGTTACAAATGCAAGCTCAAAGAATTTGTTTTATATTAATTATATAATAGATCATCCATTTTAGTCTTTCATACACAAGGTAAATCTGTATACCTGCTGACAAATTTGTATAATTCCTTCCTATGCGGTTGTATGATCTTAAAGACAATGTTCACTTTTAATTGTTGACCCTCAATACGAAGACACGAAAATATTTCCTATCTCAACTAATATTTTTTTCGAGCCCTTACCAGAGAGGCAAAAGTATATTCTATTAACTTTTATTCTGTATTTTTTTTTTTTTGGAACGCCAATTGAAAGATAATCTTGATATCTTGCATGAATAAATTAGGGGAGTCTACCTTTCGAGGGTGTGTTTGTGTGCATTGATATTGATCACAAAATACAAAGCAAATTAAATTTAGTAATCGAGTCAATTGATAATGGGCTGCTGTTCCTCAAGAACAATCATTGATGACGACTCTTCTGTACTAGATGGAGCCAGTGAAGTACCCAGAGGAGGTAGGATATAAAAGGATCGATTAATATGTTCGATTAAATTAAAACGATATAGGATCGATCGGTGATTTATTGTAAAAACACTTAATGCTAACCTATTAAGTGTAATTCATATCAGGTAACATGCCATTTACTAAGAAGGGTGTTAAGTGGACTTCAGATTCGCCGATAACTGTACGTCAACTAAAAAAGCAACGGGACGCGTTTTGGGATACCGCACCTAGCTACGAAGTAAGAGTGATTCGTTAGGTTATTTCTATCTTAATATGAATTTAACAATTGCATATAACTTTCTAGGGCCGACCAGAAATATGGCAGGCCTTACGATGCGCATGCGAATACGATGACATTGTATTTGCACAAGCCATACTTAATTCCGCGAATATAATCATTCCAACGGGTAACCTAGTAAATGGTTGTTACGATGAGCTGGGAAATAAATATTTAATTCCTGCGTATTGTATAGTAGAACCGACTAATCTTATATATGATGACGATAATACGTCCGAAAATGGGGAGGAGGCTGGCGACGAACCGTTTGCCGAGCAATTGTCTGCATCTTCCTCAGCAGAAAAAACAATTACGATCAGATTATCTAACACATCGAAAGATGTCAAAATAAAAATTAATTCCAAGTTGGATACCATTTCTACTCTGAGAATTAAATTATGCGCTGACCAGGGATTGGATACAAAAATGTTTACAGTTAGGTTTTTCTTTCTCGGATGCTTACTGGAAGATAAGACAAAATTGGGAGATATAGATTATAACGACGGTCAAGTGTTACAGGCATTGATTAGCGAAAAACAATAAGTCTTAATTTATTGTTATTTAATTAACGACATGTATAACTAATACTTTATTAGAATTTATGAATGGAGAAAAAATATAAGTGATGCTGGGTATTACTTAATACTACAGAAATATAAGTATATATATATGTATTATAAAATGAAGTTCGAATTTACAATTATTGGCATTATTTTTTTCCTAGAATTATTCGGAAAAGTTTTTATTTTTTATATTTATATTCATATCTACTTATTTATATTCTACTTATTTATATTTTAATATACAACAATAATTCTAGATTTATAATTTGTAAAGTCATTCTTAGTATTTGTTATGAAAACAACACTTATAGATTGTATTGTAAAAAGTAAAATCATTATAAATATTGTAACTATAGTACACATTACTAAAGTTCAATTGTTTAATAATAAATAAGTCAATAATTTTATATATAAATAAAAATAAAATAATTGTAAAAAATTAAATTATTTCAATAAAGCAATTTTATAACATTATAGGTCTTTTATTAAATTAGTTATAAGCACTATACAGTTTTTATTATATTCTTATTCTTTTTTTTTATTATATCTTTTTAACTAATTGAAATAAAAAAATTTTTTTTAATTTAACTTTTAGGACATTCTAATGTTTTATTGTTTGATAACATATGAAAATCAATATATTAAAGTTTTATATATTATTTAAATATACTAGAAAGAAATTTATAATAGTTCAGAATCCATGTTAACTTAGTGTAATTATAGAAAATACTTTGCCAAAATTTTATTTCTAAGGATTTCAACAAAGAATTCTTTAGTAGAATTATTTTCAAGACTTGAAACTTATATGTGAATAGTATTGTTATTGTATTTGAAAAAAAAATTTTAGTTAAAAAACTTTTCAAAATCTTAAAATTCAAATTATTAAAATAAATCTAATACTATTATTTAGAATTAAACAAATTATTTAATTTTTATTGCTTTATCAATACTTAAAAATATTTATAAAATTTATAAAAAAAGTTTATTATTTTAAAAAACTTATATTTTTATTAATTATCTTTAAAGAATAAATATTAATTGGTAATTTTTTTTTAAATATTAGAAAAAAATTAACAAAAAAACAAAAAAAAAACTAATTAATAAAAAATATATTATAACAATTTTTTTTTATCTATTTTTTAAAATATAAAAATTATTGAAATATAATATTTATTTATTTATATATTATTTTTATAACAGATTTAAAGTTTTTATTGAATTAAATAAAGATATTTACAATATATATACAGTATGGTGCAAAAGTCTTTGGACTAATATTTTTTATTATAATTCAATAAATATTTATTTAATTTAAATA